ATAATTACAGGGAAGTTCTACTATGAGTCCCTTGAGTATAGGGATATTCAAACTGTACAGAAGACAGGATGAGTCTGGGAAATGTGGCATTGCAATTAAAATACAGGACTAGAGCATGAGAACATCAAAGCTGTGGAAACCTAGTCTTCTGGTCTTTGCTCTGGACTGGCACCAGCGGGACACATTTGCACAAGGTTATTCTTGGCCTAACTGATCTGAGTAAACTTTTCCCATTTGCTCCATAGGAGACAATTAGATAAAGGCTTAATTTATCTTAAAAAGCCTGGTCACAAGCTGGTAAAAACTGGTTTGGGTTTGGATATAGGTAAAATATTTAGCGTAAGGGGTCTCGAGGCTGAGGTCTGGGCACCTTGACATTACACTAACCCTGTAACTGCAAATAGCAGTAATAGTAGTAGAGGACAGACCAAGCCAGATATATTGAAAACAGACAGATAGAAACTCAAAAGGAGTAAAAAAGACGTAACAGCATAACCTAAAAACTGAAATAGCAAGAAACCTCCAGGACCAGATGACATTTATGCAAACACTCTAAAGAAATCACAGTATAAAGAAGTTACTAACAAAGATGTTCGATTCATCGTTAAAAACAGCCACTCTCCCACGAGGTTGGAGGGGAGCCAACACTGTGCTTCTTTTAAAAGAGGTGCTGAGGGCAATCATGGGAATTACAGACCTCACTGAGCCTTACACCAGTACCAGGAAAAATAGCCAAGAAAATCATTAAAGACAAGAGTTATAAAGCACTGGGCTCAGTGAGTATAATGCGGTAAAGCAGCAGCTCAGTTTCTCCAAGCTGACTTTCTGACCTACTAGTGTTCCTTGGAAATGTCAGCAGCTCTGAAGCAGCAGTGATAAGAAGGAGTCACCTAGCTATTGAGGATTTAACAAAAAACACATTCCAAAATTCAAGGGCTCTACGCCAGCTAACATGCATAAGCCCCAAGGTGGGATTTTAGATCACGCCACTGATTTGAAAGGAAGAAGAATGAAAGTGGCACTAAGTTCTTTTAAGAATCCCATTCCTCATAAACTTTGGCAGTGTCTCTAGGATGAATCAAATTTAGGCACTCAAACCCAAAAGGCAGGCCCCTCCCAAACAAGCTACAGATTGCGTGGCTTTGCTCTGATATAACTACAGTGTCTTGAAAGTAGTTGATTTACATGCTTCCACTTCCTACTCCTTCCCAGCTGGAGATCTCCCAGCCTGCCCTGCCTGGCAGCACTCATGCTGTTACAGGTGTCAGCACTAGTCCCTCCTCTGCCAACACACAGCTTCTCCTTCCTAGCCCTTTAAATGCTGCCAGACCTGCTGCCCAAGGCTATCATGTCATGGAGCCTGAGGGACTGATATTAATCCAGTGGTGACTACCAGCCATAATAAGCCTAATACATTCCCCATTTTCAGAAATCTGTCAACTCTGATTGATAGGTGCTATATATCAGAGAGATCGCTATATACCCATCCTGTTCCTATTCCCTTCCTTAAACATTCACTTTGTAGAGAGACAAGATTGCATGGAAGATGGATCATTGGTTTGGTCCAGTGCACCAGATTTTACATTATGAGCACTGGACTCTTGCATACCAGTTTTCCCAAATTTGCAGAGGCACAAGCTCTCTTTTCCTTCAGAGCTGCTTACTCTGAGTGCCACCCTCCCCAGATGGACACAAAAAGTCATACAGCAGTTTCTGCTCAAACTCAACGTGTTCCCAGAAGTCCTCACCCAAGCAGCTGAACATAACCTCCAGGATTACGAGGGATAATGGCAATCACACTCCTTTGAACTCTAAAATTGCACTAGGCGTTGCCACAGGACCACTGATGGGGTAGATATCTGCAGACAAATATCCCTTCTAGAGATAAGTTGAAATAAGAAGGGGAAGCACTTTTGCCCGGGTTGACCAACTGCTACATGCTCTGGAGAGATGTAGAAGGAAATTTTCAGCTTGTGGGGGTTTATTGCTGGTTTTGGGCCATTTCTGCTGCCCCTAAAAGAGGCTTGTGGCTTAAAGACACAGCCAAGGCTGTCACCTTTTCTTAAACATACACCATGACACTCGCAAACTGCAACTTGTGGAGCAAACCACATCATCCTGCCCCCTCCAAATCACCTATGTGATGTCATGAATTATCACAGATCAACACTATTCTTTTTCTTTGAAGGAAAGAGAGAACCATCAGCTGTTTGCAAACCACAGTATCATCTACCCCTCCCACACAAACCACAGATCAAAGGCTTCCCCTTTCCAAACCACAGAGAAGTCCCGGGGGCTCCAAGAACCAGATGTCTAGCAATTTACTTGCTGCAAGACACTCACATGCAGGACTGTGCAGTCTCTGCAATATGTGGCAAAAGGGAAAACATTCCCCCTTAGGTATCCCAGCTACACATACAAGATATACAGAACCACCCAGTCACTCATACTGGCCTGTAGGGAAGACAAAAGAGAGCAGATGAGAAGTGTTCCACAGAGCTAGTGATACAAGGTCCAAGTGGAGCACTGGTTTATAAATACAGTACAAACAGCAGAGCAAGGATGAGAAGTTTGCTTCTGTACCTTGAAAAGCAAGACTCAAATTATAGCAGGATACACCAGGAATCATTCTAACACCACCCCTTCTGCTCTTCAGCTTCCACTTTACAATGAAGCAGCTCACCTCTCCTGCAAGCATACAGGAAAAATGGAATGTGTATGCTTCTTAAAGCCATTGCTATCTCCTGACAAGATACTGAAACAACGGTTCCAAAAAGCACAAACTGCCCTATTCATCTCCCTGAGTGGCTCACTTGCCTCCTGATGACAATCTGCTAAATATCTTCACTTACTTAGTTCGCTGTTCCTTGAAGCAAGTAAGAATGCAATGAGAAGATTGTGCTAGGGCTACCTTTATATAAGCTACTCAAAGAGACCGAAAATGGAGATGGCAGGTTTGGGAGATACCTCAACTTATCTTTCGTTCATCACAAATGACTCAGATTCAACAGGCCCAAAAAGATACCAAACACAAGGAAACAAGGCTCTTCACAGTCCTCTCCAAAGCCCACTTATGATTGATGCTGTGGGCTTCTGATGTGCTTTAGAGAAAGGTCTATTTGCATTTGTTCCTGAGAAAGGTCATGAATTGCACTTAAGTGAGGATATAAGGGGAAAATACACAGTTTTAGGAGGCTAACATAACAAATAGTGAGATCTCTGGCTTGGAGATCTGAGGAACAGAGAACAAAGCAAAGCCAGTCTCTCTGCTCAATTTAAGTATGTATAGCTAAACACAAGGAAATAAAATAAAGGATAAACACAAACATTTTAAAAATCTTCAAAAAGAAGTCAAATATTATGTCAGTGCTACAACCTTATCCAGCACTGGCAAGTATGGTGTGAGTGTGCAGTGAAGAGTGTGAGAATAGACAGTAGAATTTGGCATTCGTGATGGGAGCTGTATGTACCATGAAAAGAAAGATAGGTGTCCCTGAGCCTCAGCAAGTCAGAGATGAAAGAGGAACTTCCATCCAATAACGAATTCATTAATTTTCCTTATCAAATGTGCTGAGCCAAGACACATATCCCCCAACTGGGAAAAACTAGGAGCTGCCATCTCCTGGAGTATCACTGTACACCGGGTGAGCTGCAGGCAATCATTAAAGCCTGACAAGGGTGTATGTGCAAAAGGACGAAGGACTGAGTGATCAGAAATCCAATCCTCTCTTTGGCAGTCCACTGCACTGCAGAAAAACGGATGTGAAAGTTTAAGAGTATGGGCCAGACTCGTCTGTAGGTAGGTCCACAGAATTTAACTGACTTACCAGAAATGGCTTTGGTCCAACATGCCTGTGACAGTCCAAAGTGGGCATGGCTTACACAAGCTTTGGCTCAAACCCTGAATGGAGATCATCTGGAGTGCTTTTAACTAAAATTAAACATGAAGATTATCAACTTCAGTGAGTGCAGAAAATAAAGAGTCCCAGCCAGAAGGAGAAAGGAAAAGTGTTAGGAAAGGTCACTTACAACCCATCCTTCATGTTCTGGATGGTGGCATTTGTTTCCCTGTTACCACAACATCGGTTCTTCCAAACTATACGCTACATCATCAGTAACAGACTTGCTTGTTCCCATGTACATATTCCTTTGCTTCCTATCACACAGCGTACAGCTTCTGTATCTTCCAACGTATCAAAAACTAACGTTATATAGTGGATAGTTTATTTCAAAGAGAGAATTATGCTAGAACCTCTCTGCATGTGCAAGATGGCCTAGAAAGGTAACACAAAAGCAACATACAGTTTGGGTTTATTTGCTTTGTAACACTGAAAATTTAGTATGTACTAATACATTTATGTACTCCCAAACTCAAACAGTGGAGTCTAAAAAGTATCCTGCTCTAGACTTGGATGTGCCCATCTGAGAGCACAAGCCCTTCTAGGCCCGTAGCTAGGAAGAATCCACAGCCCATGAGTACCAAAAGATAAGGCACCAGCCTATAATTTGAGGAAGATGAAATCATATGTGGGTAAGCAGCTGATACAGGAACCCCACACATTCCTTCTGCTAGGTGTTGTGTTGACCTTTCTATTCTATGGTGTCTGCAACATGCTCATGTAAACCTTGAGCCTTCCTTCTTCCCTAACCATAGACCTATAGACACTGTTGGTCCCACATTCCCAGGGAAAAGCATTTTCAACATGTGACAAGGCATCAGTTGGAGGTGGCTAAGCTGTTTGTCTTCTCAGTGCTGCAGTAATTTCCCAGCTGATTTCTGAACTCCAGAAGGAAGGACAAGGACGGAGGGGAGGAGGGGAAGCAGGGGAAACAACGATTTCATCATTCAACAAGAGTTTGTGAGAAAGAAGGTTATATTGGGGGACCACCAAACGCGACGTCTTTCATTGCCCCACCTCCCACAATGCAAAGGTGCAGTATTACCTCTTCTCCCACCCCCCCACCTCACCTACCCCCAAACAAAGTATTCCCGAGCTCACCGTATAATGCAGTTTTTCATGGCATGCCTGCTTATCAGGCCTCTGAAACTATGTGAGACATGCATGCAGACAATGGGCCTGTCTCTCAGCCACGGAGGGCTCTGAAGGGATCCCTTTCAGCGCTCACAGATTGCTCTGTGTTCCCTTAATTGACAGAGCCCGCCAAGTCTGACAGCAGTGGCGTGCAGCTGGTGCGGGCAGCTCTGTCTCAGGTAGGCCACCTTTCAGCAGGGAAATTGCTTTTGATTGGCTTTATTGGAAGCAGCTTCTCCTGTTCAGCTGGCAAAAGTCTGGTATTTTAATGGCTGACAGTTTAGGACCAAACTCTCTTTCCCAGAAGGTTACCTCTTTTCCCCATTTCCAAAGTCTCTTAGAGCTAAATAAGCTATCTTGAAAAGGACTGGACCATAAAGAATAACTTTATTTGGTCAGAACTGGTAAGGATCTGAGATTTTCTGAAGCCCATTTTCTTTTACATCTCAAATCTCCAGAATTTGGCTAGAGCCTGCAAAAACTAAGATCACAAAGCAAGAACAGAAGAGCTGAGAAGTGCTAACAGGAAGTTCTTTAGTGCACCTTTAGAGCTTCAGTCTGGACTGCTCCTTTCAAGAAGGCCAGCATGAATTGGTCTCTGTCTTCTCCTAGAAGTCATTGGAGACTGGACATGAAATTCCACTCAGACTACTTTCAGCCTCAGATATGTCAGTAGTAGCCTGAATCTGACTATCCTGTCTTTTCCTCCTCCACTTTCTGGTATGCTAGATGAGACTGTACAGACTAAGACATCACATGCCTCAAGGGCTACCAATGCAGCCACTACTTCTTTCTGCATTCAAGATATCCTGGTTGGAGAACTGAATAAGGTTCAGAGGAAAGGGTGAGGATAATTTCCAATGCCTTCCACAGCCTTTCCACAGCCTTTCCATTTCCAAAGTTTTGTTGGCCTTAAGATTTATATATATATATATATAATTTTTTTTACATCTGCACTTGGCTTTTCATTGCATTTTATTACAGTCCTTCTGCCAGGCTTTGCTTAACAACATACAGAACCTGGTGCAATTTTTAGGGGTCATTAGTAAAAACCACTTTGAGAACGTACTCAGAAACCTGGGAAAATTAAACTGAACTACTTTGGCACTCAATGAGCTATGCTTCTCCACAAATGATGACTCAGCTGACCCAACCAACCAGCTCTTCAATGGAGAAAAGAAAGAAATGGAAAGAAAAAGTGAGTTCAAATAATTACTGCTGCACCTTTATCAAAGAACAGCAAGAAAAATTTGAAGCCCTCCTCTCTGATTTCCTGGTGCAGAAATAGCTGGGGCAGGGAGCTGGTTCCTACTACCTGCAGTAGCACACAAATCTAGCATGCCTACACCAAGTCTCAGGACTCTGTCCTCTGCTCTCCCAGGCAGTAAGGTGGCAAAAGGTTGCAGCTGACCTATAGGACATGTTGCCACACAGCTGCCCCAGAACACTTCTGCCACTCATTCCTCCTTCCCTAGCCAGTCTTGCTAGCCACTGTCCCCATCAGGCACTTCCACCTGGCCACTGATCTTCTCATCAGTTGCTCTTACTTGTTGCTTTTGCATTTGCATGATAACTGTGTTTTAACAGGCATACTATAACATTCACTCCACAAATTATCTGTATTGTTTGATAAAGACTTCTAAAAAAGCTTCTTTTCTTAAATACAAAACTTCCGCATTCTGGGGATGCAAAGTAGAGTATCCACTCCCATAGGGTACCATTAGGCAATTGCTTTGTCCAGCTTCATACAGTGTTGCAACTACATAATTTCCCCTCAGTTACGACAGAATCTGTTTAAACAGGAACAATGCAAATACAAAGTAATGTGAAAGCAGGTTAAAGCTGTGCCAGACCTTCACACAGATCTTTTCCTTTCTCTCTCTACCTCATACCAGCAGGATGTCCCTGATCTTCAAGGGCTCCATTCTTCCATCTTCTTCTAGGAAACACCTTCTCTTGAGATATCAAGCTACAAGAAATAGGATCCCCGAGGTCCTGTCTGTTCATGAGATGGAGGTACTTCAGAAGAAGGCATAGGTGCTGCTGCAGTAGCTTCCATGCTCAAGAGTCATTTCCCAGTTTAGCCAGCTGTGCCACCTCTGCTGAAGCCTCTACCAGTAGTCAGCACAGACGATGACAGAGGGGACTGGCATCTACCATCACATGCAATGACTGCTTGTTCATTGGCCTTGCCCTGTCCAGGTCTCGGCCTAGACACCAAAGCAAAAGGGAAGCTTGTTGTGTGGTCAAAGCACTGGACTGGAATTTGGGGAATCCTCATTCCCTTTGAACAGTGACATAAGATGCTCTAAATTCTTCCCCCCTCCCCCCTCCCCCCCCCCCCCCCAAAAAATAATTAATTCCAGACATTTTCCTGTTTTCAGACCACAGTTTTTACAGAAATTAAGGTTTCTGGTGCTGCTTCTCAACCATGTAGTGTATTTGAAAACAGTGGTGTTTAATTAACGCTTCATGTATTATTGATATAGAGAGAACAGGAATTTCTAGCAGAACGTCCACATATTAAACTAACAGAAATATCACAGTGTTATGCAAAACTTCATCACAAGTTGCTCCTATCATCACCTACCACTATAGCATCTGGGCACTTTCTTGTGACACCAGTGAAATCCTTCTCTCTCTTCTGCATACATCTCTGTATAATGTATTGGTTCTTATTGCTTGCTGACTTGTTTTATGCTGGTCTGTACTTTCCTTTGCTTAATGTTATCTGGAATGGCTGCTTGAACAGAAGGAGATGTGAAGTGACAAGTAGGTTTTTTTTCCACAGAAGACAGTCCTGTAGAATTTTTTCTAAGGATGAGGAGAAACTGGTTTCATCTGCTCCCCGAAGTATGATCTCCCTTCCAAGGAAAGGTCTGCTGCATCTCACCTGTAGCATGTTCTCTTCCTATAAGCTACAATACACTACATGCCAGATGAAATTCTTACCTTTAACGTAGGTAAGGCTTATACCTTACTATGGCCGAGATCTTCTTGGCTAAAGACAGTGTCAATTAGATTGTGTACATGTACGCCGACAGGGTAGGCTACAGGTTTTACACCACAGAAGCACAGGGCAAAATGGTACAGGTGCCACATGGGATGTACCTAACCTCCAGGGTTTTGTATGCACTACATAACACAGAAGGAAGTAGAGTTTTTGCTGTGTATAAACTGTTGAGTCTGATGTTCATTTTTTGAAGCAGACAAGAATTCAGACTTTTGCTAGGTGGGCTGACATGCTATGTGCTAGGATAGACAACACAAGCACACCTGCACTGTCACAGACAACCTTATCCTGATACTTATCATCACCCCTTTGGCAACCACAGGCTTCTATTTTGATTTATAACCCAGTGATCTTTCCTGGGCTTATACTCTCTTTCAATACCTGACAGTATATGCTGTCAGGCCCAGCAAGAGCCCTTTCTCTAGAGCCACTGGGACAAATTCAAGAAAGAGTGGCCAGAAAAGCCCTGAGGAAGACACAACAGCGGCATAAATTCCCATTGAAGGGGGATTGATCTGCAAAGCCTTTTTTCCCTTGTGAAAGCACTTCACTGGGAAAGTCTCCAAGCCAAAGAGGAGAGGCCCAAAGGGAGGGACGGGTAAGAGGCCCTGAGGGCAGCCAGGGGAAATGTTTCGACTGTGGTAGGTGACATCTGGGTAAATAGGAAACGCTGTCATCAGCTGCTGCTACCTAAGCTAGGGAGGTGACCAGCCACTAAGGGTCTGAAAGGTCTTCAAGGTACTGTGCTGGGAAGTCCAGCATTTTCATCATGACCACTCCAGTGGGAGTGTGATCACAGCCATTTCAAGTAACTGTGCTCATAGCCTGATGTAAGGCTTTGCTAAGCTCCTAGTGCCAGCTGGCCCAGGCAAGGGCAGGAGGTCCAAGGCACATGGCTTATGAGGCAGAAGCTCTGGGATCTCCAGTCCTTTGTCAGAGAAGGCAAAAGGCTGTGAAGGATGGCAACATAGAGGGTAGCAGGGAAGAGAGATGTTCCAGAGCGGCATGTAATGCTTGCCATGGGGCCAAGCACATACCCAGGGCTCTCAAGCAACCTTTACAGGGTAATGTCAGTCATTTGCACTGGTGGGGGAGGCGAGGAAGAGACTAGGATTGTAGCTCAGCTGCAGGAAAGCCACACAAAGTTGGTCTGTTCGGCTGCCTTTGTGGCACTGTTGTATTTATTGAAGGCAGCAGCAGTTTGTTCTGTCCTTTCAGTTACTGTACGGGACCCGATCGGGGTGCAGATGGGACTACAAAGCAGCCCTTGTTGTCAGTAATGTGACTCACATGTCAGGCTCTTATTTGCTGTCAGTGGCTTTATTAAAGTCTACAGTTTCAGACCCTAGACCCTTGCCTATTGTATCCGCTGGCCCCAGAGATTCTCTTAGGGAGCACTCACAATTACCAACTCTCTCACAAGAGCACACAACAAACACACTGAGCTGGCATAGCAACTGTGCACTCAGGGGTGATGCCCAGGCTAAAGCCAAGCTGGGGCGCTTTTCATCTTTAAAACTAATACATGTACAGAAATGGACAGGACAGAGCGGAGGCTGTGTCTGGAACCAGATCCTTCCCTCTAAGACCACCTGGTAACATACACATTTGTTCAAATTTATTTATTTATATGTTCTGCACTTGCAGATATGCTAATACTCACACTTATGCTCACATATGCATTTATGGCTATGTTCTGCCCCATGGCAACACACATATTCACATATATGCTTGCTTACATGCTTGTGCATGCATGCTTGCGCACCGACACAGATATGCAGGTAGGCATAACATGTGCACATTGCACACCACACACAGTTGTGTTGACAAGCTCCTGCACGAGTACTCATAATCCTCTGTGTCACACAGGCACACACGTCACACACTCTACCACTGTATTCTCCCACTCAGCTATACACAGCTTGAAGGCTGCAGTCTCACATTGATGTACATATTTTCACAGTCTCAGCAGGCACTAGCATGCTGGCGTCATCACTGATACAACCAGAAGAGAATTCCCACAAATGCAGTCACATCCCTTCACTTACAATTGCTTCAAGAACAGAATTTCCACTTCAGATACCCAGCTGAAGTACTGTTTCCCAGGCAAA